AAATGTTCACGAACTTTTGGGACAACCTAGTATAACCTAACGCGCATCATCATCGTGTTGACTATTTCAGGGTTTTATCCACATTTCTCGCTGCTATTGTTATCTTCCTGGACACCGACGCGTTCTTCATCACTAATAAGCCGATCGTATATTGCGGAAATATCTCCTACGTACTTTATCTTGTTCACTGGCCAGTAATTGTTGCTGCTCGTTACTACTGTGATACACAACATCTCAGCACTAAAGGTGTCGAATATTCACATACGTTGTTTGCAAATGGAAGAAGCACTGTCCAGAATTCATTTTCAGCCGTCGTTTTCGTCGTTGTTTTCTGTCTACTGATCTCAGCAGCAGCTCATCATTCCGTCGAGGTAAGTAAAGTATGAAGCTTGGGCTGTTACCCTTTTCTGGGATACGGTACAGATTCCACTCCCATCAGGAAACTAGTGACTTATTCAGTGCAATTTGGCCTATGTCATGAATTTGTGGATCTCTCCGATGTACTCGTCAGTGCTTTGATACTCCCAGACAAATTTGGTACCCATTTACCCTCGAGCGGGTCCTGGATTTGATATCCGACCGCGCGTGCGGTGGGCGGACCACTTGCTTCTATACCGTCTAAGCTCGGTTCCGTCGGCTTAGTACTTGGAACGTTTCTGTTTCTACAAGTGCTTTTCGTATAACAAGGTCCTTCGCGATTTTTGCATTTTTGAACAATCGGCCAGCAAACGACTTCTTGGATATAGCCTCCCACAGGTTGTAGGGCCCAGAATCATTAAATCGTGTGGTAAAATGAATAATCATGGCGAAAAAAGCAAAAGAAACTATCGAAGGCGCCGCAAGGAAGACGTCATACGCACTCGCGACAAATTTCTGCCGAATAGGAACCCCCCTCTCCAAAAGCGGGTTGCGGCACGACTCCTACCTCTCTCTGAAAGAAAAAAAGAAAAATTAGATGATACCGAACAGGGATCGTTGTTTAAATGTTCGCGCACATGAAGAGATTGCGGCGACTGCTCAAAATACTTTCTTACTGTTGCACTGGAGCAAGCAATTTCGCGATATGTGCTGCAAATGAAGCCAGAAGCTTCAGAAGTACCCTTCCTTGAACATATATGACCGTTATAGCAGTGACACGATGGTCCTCGATTAATCCTACCTGCCATGAATATACTTCCTGTCATATTTTTTCTAAGAGACCTTCCAGTTGTTTTCATGGGAGTGGGTAGCAGGGAATAGGGAGCAGATGTGAGCTGTGAACTTTATCCTAATCAATTTTCTCAGAACTTTGTTAATAATATTTCAATTTTCACAGAACTTTTTCATAAAGAACGGTTTCCTGCCAGCGATAGGTTTGCGTGATTGGCTGCTATCTCTTTGTTATCGGAACTGTCCCTACATTTGTTATACAACCGTCCTTGCAGTACACTTCCTCCAACAATTCCAGTGAGTTTCTTGCAACACAATCAAAGAAGTAGTGGCTATACTGCGTTCGTTGCTAAATTATACTTTGAACCTCGGCGTGAAAGCCGATTCTCAGCCCCATTTCCCGCAGTCTCCTTCTGCAGTCAGACGTGAGCAAAGATGTATCGAATGAGCTACTCTCTCTAGTTCGCTACGGACGGTTGGGCGTGTCAGGCAGTATGAGTGTGCACGCCGTCAAAGCCGTTCTCTGCCTTCTTGTTGAAGCGCGCATGCGACAAAAAGTGGTAGAAAACGAGTAATATGAACAGTACGATACAGCCATATCATAAGCTCGCTTTAACAGCCGGTGGAGAACGGGTTTGGCACCGCGCCAAACTCATCCCGCCTGACACGCCCAACCGTCCGCAGCGAACTATACTATAATAATAAGTCAGCAAAAAAACGCGTGCGAACACATGGTCAAATGCCACTGTATACTTGCGAGGTTGGCCCTTTTTATGCGCGACTTGAACAAGTCAGCAGCTCTAGAAATGGTTCACTTTCACCCCTCGAAAGTAGAGATGAACAGCTATGATTGCACTGTACTCTCGCTACCATTCGATGCGCCTCAGCCACACCACACACTGCACACACTCCTGTACAGCACGATCTGCTCAATCAGGTCTTGCGCGAAGGTGGTGATACGAAGTCGAAGTTGCGCTGTAGATACATAATAACGGGACATCCGCCATAGGCCTTTATGGTCGCGCGCAGGGCACAGCATTCGATGGGGATTTTGGTCGAGCTTTTACGACCCCCCCCCCTTTTTTTCAGGGGCTGGTACGACCCCCCCCCCCTTCCCCATGCTCGTCTTCCCCATGCTCGTACGATGGCTGACATGGCTGACTGTGGTTGTGGCTTATACTTGGCGAAAAAGTTTTCGATTCATTTTCATTTCATATTTTCAATTCATAAAACTCATGAAGTGAACCACGTAACTCCTGGCCAGAAATACGACCCCCCCCCTCCCAACAACGACCAAATACGACCCCCCCTCCAAAACGTCCGCAAAGCGAGAAAAATCAACTATAAAAATAAATTTTTCCCCAGCCCAAATACGACCCCCCTTTTGGCGGCCAAATACGACCCCCCATAGGGAATCCCCATCGAACGCTGTGCCCTGGTCGCGCGTCCGTGTAGCGTGTAATAGGCCAAATACACACGGCGCGCAACAGAAAACATATAAATTCAGTCACCCACCCCCCCTCCGTCTGCGCCCTCTTACGTATGGTTGAGGTGTCATTGTTCTCCAGATTTCTCTACACTTCTGTGTCGTTCTGACAACTTCCTTGCGGGATCTAGTGACCCCATTACTCCGTCATGGGTGTGACAAGGGAAGAGCAAAATCGAAGCAGCACTGGAAACTTTGATGTAGCGGTACCACTATGTTGTGATGTGACTTTATTTTACAATCTCAATCATATAAATCACACACCGATGGTCAGTACACTCGCAGCCAACCCACTGATGTTTTCACTCCACACGTGAGGGTGGCTACAGACGCGCTTAACATGTTACGAAAAGGAATGGCACCACCGAGGGCAAACAGCATAAACGAAAAAGTTTGATAGAATGAAAGGGGTGAAGAGATCACTATTGATCTCGTCCCTGTATCAGGGGTCCAAATGCTGGGCCTTACAAGACGAAGTGAGGTATTTGAAGCAGGGGAAGTAACGTTAAGTAGTAGTTGAAACAAATGAAGGTTGAAATAGCATTGTTGAAGACAGTCCTCAATCAAGCAATGCTATGATAATCTCGCCGGTAAAATGACATGTGGTAGTTTTGCCGCAATAGTAGCATAAGAGTCCTTGTGTGCCACTATTGCGGCAAAAAATAGCTTTGAAGAAACGCTATTGAGCCCCGCGTATAGACAGACCACTTACGCCGTAAATACCGTCCCTCTCCCTTGTGTTCAACCGAGTCCGTCATTAAGTAAGCCCCTGCGACATTGTAAGGACTTACAATCTGATGGCGGCTTGGTTTTCGCCGTGCTAACAGGTTGAATCTATATTCAGGTTAATTTGAGCTATTTTTTAATTCGTCATTCTCCTCTAAATTGACAACATTGGACTACTTTCACAAAACTCTCCCTTGTTGCTGTTTGCTCCTAACTTCTGATGTCCGATCCGTTATCAATCGTCCAGTTTTACTATTGCTTTTTTGTGATCACATCTCCTGAAGATGTTTTTTCCGAATCATTTTTTCCTGAAATAACAACTGGTTTCAACCAACAGGATCCATTCAACGCGGTTGTCGAGATGTCGCGCGGCAATGGCGCACTTGTCACCGGACTTTAGAGTAAATGATAACATGAAAGTGACGTGAGGGAAAAGTACACGACACTGGCAACTATGACCACATTCGCACACGCAACTTTTTCGCAGTAGATTTGTACGAGATTCAAAGTGGAAGGGGTCCTAGCAGGGCGTTTTTCATCACCGACGAGTCGCTTACTCTCTTGGAAGTGTTATGTCACCCAAGTACTAACGATCTGTAATTGCGATCGCCGTGATTACAGACCGTTTATGGTGATGCGAGTGCCTTTGAGTATGGAAAATTTGATTTTTCAATTTTTTTTTACAAATTTAGAAGAATATGCGATAGCCTGGAATGTGAATGAGTCCCAAAAGGTGTACTATCAGTTACCGTGTCGGCCGGATCAAGAGACCGTTCTCTATACTAATTACAGTGATGAACCAGAACTACGTTGCGTTGATGTGGGTTTCTCAAGAAAACTGTCTGTATTCAAAAAAACTTCCTGCTTATGATGACTGCTTCGCTCTTTGGACGCAGTTGGCTGACCGTCCTTCTGCACTGTTGGACGATAGGTGTACTTCAAGACATCAAAAACTGGCATCATCCTCAAGTTAGCAAAGAATTTCCTAGCTACATAGTTGCTCTCTTACGTCGCCTGTCCTGAAAAGAGTTGGTACTCAGGGTACAGCATCGTTGTGTGAAACACATAGGGGTCGTACTTTTCCGCTGGGGAGAGGGGGTCGTATTTGGTCGTTGGGAGAGGGGGGGGTCGTATGTGCGTCGAGAGAAATTTGCCGCGTTGGGAAAAAATTTGTTGATTACATGTGTACTATATACCTCCCCCCCCTCGATAGCACAATTTTCGGAGAAAAGTAGGAAAATGCACGGTAAATTGCGGAAAAGTGGTAGGAAGTTGGGGATAATTGAGAAATTTTCCTGTTTCACAGTGCTTATGTATCCCCCCCTCGACTGAAATTTCTGGGTGAAAAACTGGATTGGAACATGTGGGAAATTAGTAGGTAGATGTTGGCTAAGGGAGTACCGGGACTGTTGCGAATCGGGGTTGCCCGACGCCCGGGATGGCGCGTGGAGGGGTCCGCCCGAGGCCTCTGGGCGTGAATTCCCCTCCACGGGTGTTATATCTCCTCCCTGGACTACTCGGACC